TCTTTGAATAAATATTTCTTGAATCAAGAATTAATTAGTGAGCATGTGTATCTGGCTCAGTGACATTTAGTTTGAACTGTGAGACAGTTTCACTTCTAATTACTGCCTTTCTTCTTCACTGTATTCTACTTCTTATTTCTACTAAATGGAAATTCCTAATCACAGATCACCAGGGGAGAGAATAAGCATCAGGTGATATTCCAGACAACCCTGGAGACATGCAGGGCCAAAGCTAGTCTTCTGGAGCAATTTCTCCCTGAAAACTGTGGACGGCCGCCAGATAAATTCTAGCTGTCTGAGCTTATCACACTCAGACATTAAGACGTGCAATGATTGGAGTCCTTTATTTTATTTGTCTGTTTTTTTTTTTTTTTTTTTTTTTTTTTGCTTTTGTTTTTCTGAGACAGGGTTTCTCTGTGGTTTTGGAGTCTGTCCTGGAACTAGCTCTTGTAGACCAGGCTGGTCTCGAACTCACAGAGATCTGCCTGCCTCTGCCTCCCAAGTGCTGGGATTAAAGGCGTGCGCCACCACCACCTGGCCAGTCCTTTATTTTAAAAATTTATTTTATTCTGCCAGGTGGTGGTGTACACACCTTTAATCCCACCTCTCAGGAGGCAGAGACAGCTGGATCTCTTGAGTCCAAGACCAGCCTGATTTACAGATCGAGTTCCAGGACAGCCAAGGTTACACAGAGAACCCCTGTCTTAGAAAAACAAAACAAAAAAACTTCCCAGATTTATTTTATTTTGGTTTTCTTAAGACAGAGTCTCTCTGCCCATCCTGCAGCCCACTGCCTGCCTCTACATTCTGAGTCTGGGATTAAAGGTGTGCACCATTACGCCTGTCTAAGAGACTGACGTCTTAATCTGAGAAACTGACATCTTAATCTGAGAGACTGATATCTTAATCTGAGAGACTGATATCTTAATCTGAGGGACATGAATAATCAGATTCTCAGTATACACTCATTAGACATATTTGCTTTGGAAATACTTTTATATTTGGATGCAGCATGTTAAATATGCCAAAAATGCCATTGCACACTTCCATGACACCTACGAGGGCATGCTACCTGAAACACAGTTTGGCTTCAGGAAGTCTGGCCTAACTGTGAATGCACAGCTTACACTTGGGGTAGATGCAGTAATTTTGCTGGTATCGCTTTCTAAAACACCTGGACACCTTTCCCCTCAAAATCCATCACACTTGAGTGTGAAACACGCTTCCTACCAATCTTCATACTGTGTGTGACAGAGACAAGCCTCACTTATCACTTCATGATCATCCTTATTTTCAGTATTTTCTCCAAAGCCAAATCGAGGTGAGGGTGTGCTGCTGATTGCTAGTTTCATGGAGCACAGAGTGGCGAGCAAATCAGCACCAGGGATCATCTCACTAGCTGACTCTTGCAGAATGCCAACAGGAAGAAGAGGGAGTGGGGGATGGGAGGAGAGAGGGAGAGACATAAAGATAGCCTATCATTCTGATTTAAAAAAGAGCTTTTGCAGTCTACAGCCCCAAAAAAATGCTCTCCTGCTGTGCAGTGGTGCTGGCTTTTAATCCCAGCACTTGGGAGTCAGAGGCAGGTGGATCTCTGTGCGTTCGAGGCCAGCCTGGCCTGTAGAGCAAGTTCCAGGACAGCCAGGATTGTTACACAGAGAAACCCTGTCTCGAAAAACTAAACAACACAAATAACAAAAACCAAAGACAAAAACCAAAACCCTAATACTCTCATTATTCTGGTTTCATTGACCCAAACTAGACTTGGACAACATATTTTCTTCAGGCTATACACATGTAGCAAGACTAAATGGGCGAATACTCAGCCCATGCATGGATTGCCTCGGCTGGGATCAAACTCATGAGCCTCCTTTCTGCCTTTGCCCCATTAGCAGCTGGGATTTCGGGCATGTGCTGCCATGCCCGACTCTTGTTTTGAGTTGTCTTTTTTTCTTTTTTAGATTTTTTACAGTCAGAAAATCACTCTGACACAGAGTCACTTTTGTGATATGTAATAAAATTAAAAATACAATGAAAATAGGGGACTAAAGAGATGGCTCATGGTTGAAAGCACTGGCTGCTCTTTTAGAAGACTCCTGGCATCCACGTGGCCCCTCTATTACTCCAGATCCAGGGGATCCAGTGCCCTCTTCTGGCCTCTTTGGGAACTGCATGCATGTGGTGCATAGACATAACGTACAGGCAAAAGATGCATACCCATAAAATAAAATAGTACAATTAAAAAAATAAAATGGATACAAGAGAGAGACTGCTGAGGGAGCAGGGCCGAGACAAAGACTTTTGCAGGACCAGGCCCAAGCCAGGGACATTTGTGGGAACAGTCCTGAGCCAGCAACCTCTACCAGAGCAGGCCTGAACTAATGACCTCAGTCAAGCAGGCCCGAGCCAGAGAACTCTGTGGGACCAGGTGTGAATCAGCAACCTCCAAGGGAGCAGCCCTGAGCCAGTGACCTCTGATGGAGCAGGCCCAAGGCAGCTACCTCACTGGGAGCAGGGCTGAATGACATCAGGGATTGCAGAAGGACCCCCAGGAGCACTGAGAGTTTCCTGGGAACACAGAGTAAACTCTGGGGTGACTGAAACTGTGGCCCTGACTGCACCACGAGGAGTAACCACCTGAGCCTTGGATCCACTCGAACCTGGAGGACTGATCACCAGAGACACAGCCCAACCACACCAGTCAGAGGAAAAGGTGGGTAGACAAGGTGAGAACACACTCAACACCACAAAGAGCAATAGCACACCAGCAAAAACTAGTGGCTCTATAACAGCAAGAGTTAAACATCCAAATATAGATGAAGCAGAAGAAAATGACCTAAAAATAACTTTAGGAGAATGTTTGAGGTCCTTAAAGAGGAAATGAAAAATTCCTTCAAAGAAATGGAGGAAAAGGCAAACAAAAAATTGGAAGAAATCAACAAATCCCTTAAAGAAAAATCAAGAAAAAGCAATCAAACAGACAAAAGAAACGATTCAAGACTTGAAAAAACTGGGAAAGATCAAATGGGGTGTCACACTACTGGGTATCCTGGCAGAAGTTTCAAGTATCACTTGAAATCACTTCACTTATCAGAGTGATCCGGGAAAAGTACAAAATATGGGTGGGAGGTGGGCAGTGTAGAAACTGGTGTGTTTTAGGGTCCTTGGCACATGGGTGAATTATACTTCCATGTCATAGTGGCTTCTGCCCAGAACAGCATGAGTGTCCTTAGGCTCATCAGCCCAGAGAGGGAGCCTTCTGTCACTGGCACAGCTGATGAGAAGAGACGTCCCCAGGACGACATCACATCAGCACTGCACTAACTCACATTCCCAGGAGAAGAGCACAGCAGACACGAATCCTTCATGGAGGAAGGTCATTGGTTAAGTAATAAAGAAACTGCTAGGCCTCATAGGTTAAAACATAGGTGGGAGGAGTAAACAGAACAGAATGCTGGAAGGAAGAGGAAGTGAGCTCAGAGGCCATGCTCCCCTCTCCGGGGCAGATGCGATCCATGAAGCTCCGACCCAGGATGGACATAGGCTACAATCTTCCTGGTAAGTGCACCTTGGGGTGCTACACACATTATTAGAAATGGGCTAGTCCAGGTGTGAGAATTAGCCAAGAAGAGGCTAGATATAATGGGCCAAGCAGTGTTTAAATGAATACAATTTGTGTGTTGTTATTTCAGGTAAAGCTAGCCTGTTGCTGGAGCTGGGTAGTGGAATGCAACCCGCAGCTCCTTCAACAAATCCTCACTACGCAGACATGTCAGTGATCTGGAGTTTTCCTGATTGTCAAAGGAGCCCATGAAAGTACAGAGAAAGATCTCTATGGAGAAATGCGTAAAAATGCAGAGCTACTTGGCCCTGAGGCCAGTGGGAAGAAGGCTCTGGCTCAATAGAGTCAGGGAAATGTTGGTAAACAGAGCAAACTAAGAATTTCTTGTAAGATTCTCTTAGGAATCCAAAGTCACTCGTGTGACTTTTACGTTTATAAATCTGATAGCATTACAGGCCACTGAAATCACAGGGGGTATTATACAGCTCACGCACTGAAACAGCTGCTTCGTCTTTAAAATACTGAAGGTTTGGATCTGAGAAGGCTTCCCACTGAAGTACTTAATGAAGTAAACAGCTTTGCTACTAAACGATCCCCATCTAATTGCTTTCTCCTCCCCATTCCGGCTGTCTCTCCATCCTTTGATGGATCTCTGTTTACTGTAACTTAATGTCTAAGATAAATTTGCAGGAAAGAAGAGTCAAACGAAGGAATGAAAGAAGACACACTTACGGAAACTGTTACTCAGAACTAGGCTTTGACTTAGAGTAATTCTACATACTTAGGACTGGAGCGACAGCTCAGAGGTTAGCAGCACTTGTTAACAAAGCAATCATGATGGTCAGAGCCTGGTTCTCAACATGTGCGCGCATGCACACACACACATGCATGTGCGCGTGCACACACACACAACCACACACATGCCGAACACACATGCATGCACACACACACACACAGAGGCACGCACACACACACAAACACACGACATCCTGCAAACAGTTCTAACTCCAACACAGAGGAATCTGACATCCCAGAAGGGCTCGATACTCACACACAGGTATGTGCAACCCACATATACATTGCACACACATATAAATAAAATATTCCACAATATTAGATACAGAATCTAATCCTATCACTAAAGGGCAATTCATATGATGCACACATCTTGCTAAAGTCTATGCAAATAGTTTCAAATACAAGATTTGATAAAGTCCCAAACACTTCTCTCAAAGTATTTTGAGTACATGATGTTCAACTTGCATTAGGCACATTTGAAACCTCTTTATAATCAGCCATAGTCATCCCATCTTAGATCCTGTCTTTTCATCATATACTGATAAAAAATAGTATTTTATCTAACAAGAAATTTCATGCTTGACTTTACAGAATTACGTATTAACACAAATTTGCATTCCTTATTAAGTTAATTAAATACCTTTTGTAGACTGGTAGGGTTTAGCTGAGTTTTGTCTATTATTTTCACAGCTACCTAAAAGAGAGAATCATTAAACTTCATTTGAGAGACGTCATTTAAGAATAGAACCCTGTAAAGAAAACGTTTCTGTTTCACTCTTAATATGCACCATTTGCTTCTATGTGGATGCTCATGCAGTCTATCCACCTGAGACACAGATGATTGACTTGTCATTAACCTCTATAATAGTAATATTAGCTTGTTGTTATCTCCAAACAGATAAAATTAGTGAGCGATTTTCTAGACATCTACATCTACCTTAGCCTAGGTAGTAATTCATAGAAACTTATTCCAGCCTCCTTACAAACGCAGAGCAGCAGCAGTAACCAGGAGTGTTCTCACGGTAGACAAGCTCCAGCTAGTCTGCAGCACACCTGGTCTGTAAGAGATGTGATACAGTAGAGGGGAGTCCGTCCTTAGTGCTAAATGGTCAGGAGTTCTGCCGTGAAACCGACCTGTCTGCAATGCTCTATGTGCATATATCCCAGTTCATTCCCTAACACCAACTCTGAGAAAGCTTGTGACAAGACTCTGGATCAAGGTAAACTCAAAAGGCCTGAAAACTTACCTCTCTACCTGTTAGAACATGTCTTGCCAATTTCACTTTGGCAAAATTCCCCTTCCCTATTGTTTTCTGTAAGCGGTAATTTCCGATGTGAGGCTGTTCATCTATTGCTGACGTAATGGAGTTTCTACACCGGGGAATGTTCTGTCTGCTACTTGACTTAGTAGGCTGGACGTGTGCTTCAGTATATCCATCCACAGATGTATGCTAGGAAAAAGCACAAGAGCTCATGGTCACTTCGATTACTATAAAAGGACACTTAAAAGACTACAAATGTTCATTAGCAGTTCACCTTCAATCAAAGTACACCATACTACACAATTTTAAAACGCTAACACACTGTTTATCATTGCTTCCTGACTTAAGGGCCCTTATCAGTGGGTACAATATTTAAAATAAATTTTCTTATACATTTTAAGTCTGTATTTTGATTTTCAAAATCAATAAGTAGATAGATTGTTGGGTATCTGTAGTAATATCAAAGAGTTCCACAATAGCTCGAAATGGAGTATAATAAAGGTTTATTTATTTGGGGATAAACTCACAGTAAGGGTAGCGATCCACAGTCCTCTGCAGTTCACTGGGAACTAGAACCTAATCCAGCAGAAAAAAAGGGCCACACATTCTTTTGGCTTTTCGTGTGCACTTATAGTACATGAGACCATGCCCAAAGTGGGCCAGTATCTTAAAGGCTATTGGCTGAGGTCCCACAGCAGGTACCTCACAGACACTGTTCCTGTAAAGGCTGTTACCATTTTAGGTTGAGTGACACAAGGGCAGCATTTTTATTACCATGACAAATACTCTCACAAATGTGGTTGTTCCTCTGATGCAGGGCTTCTTGACCTTGCTTCTTTTTCTTTTCTTTCTTTTTTTTTTCATGTATACTAAACTGGTATCAAACTATGTGGGATAAAAACGATCTTGAACTTTTGATCCCTTGCCCCCACCTCCTAAATGCTGAGAGCACAGGAGTGTCTCACCATACGTGGTTTATGCAGTGCTGGGGGGTTTATTTGACAGGATCTAGGAGACACACCCCTTGGCATACCTTTGAGGAACTATCTGAATGGGATTAATAAGGGTGGGAAAAATCCATCTGAACTGAATATAAAGCAGGAAGTGAGGTAACAATAGCATCCATTGCTCTGCTTCCCAACTCTGGATGCAATTATGACCGCTGCCTCATGCTTTTGCCAGTATGCCTTCCCACTATGATGGACTGTATTCCCTTGAACTGTGAGCCAGAACATACTCTTCTCTTCTGTGTGGCTTCCTGTCAGGCATTTGTCACAGCAGCGAGAAGAGTAACAAATACACACTCTCACCCAGGCTATTCCAAAGACTCACCTATATGCACGTGTGCTGAGATGGGGGGCGGGGAAGGTAGGAAACGGGTCCAACTCTTTATTTCCCATAGATAAACCACATTTCTACAAGAAAACCTCATGTGTACAGTAAAACACCCTAATTTGTAACATATGGAAGTCTCCACTCTCAGCCTCAGTGTTTGAGGCTGCATTTTTGGCTTTGTGTGAACTGATGGTGTGTACAGCAAAGTGTGGGTGTTGTGTGTTAAAAAACCAGAGCTGCTGTAAAATCACACATTGGGAAATATGTGAGTGCTCCAGAGACATCTTAGATTCATCATGTGTTTGACTGTAAACTAATATTGAGGCATTGCACTGAAATACAAAGTCTATCGGGAAATCACACGCTGTTTGGACTTGACGACAGTGGACTCTAGGATCAAGGTGGGCTCCTCTGTCTCAGACTCAAGCAAGTTTACCTCAAGAGTCCTCTGAGACTCACTGTCCTGGGCAGGCTGGCACCCTGACCCTCTAATAGGGGGGAGGAGAATAGTAAACAGCTAAGGGGTAAAAAACGCCGGGCACAGGCTGGACAGAACTCAGTGCTCAAGAATGTGTACCTTTTTGTTTTGTTTTGTTTTGGTTTGGTTTTGGTTTTTCAAGACTGGGTTTCTCTGTGTAGCTTTGGAGTCTGTCATGGAACTCGCTCTGTAGATCCACCTGCCTTTGCCTCTCAAGTGCTGGATTAAAGGCATGTACCACCACCGCCCGGCTGCATGTACTACTTCAGAAGAAGACTTAAGTTTGGTTCCCAGGACCCTCACTCAGTGGCTCACAGCTGCCTGTAACTCTAGCTCCTGGGGATCTGACACTCTTTTTTACTTCCACAGGTACTGTACTTGCATGCATAAACCCACCCACAGACACACACACACACAGACACACACACACACACAGACACACACTATGTAAGCAGAAATAAACTCTCAAAAAAAACCCAACACTGTGGCCCTGAGAACAGCTAGAAGGCGAACCATTTCCAACAGAGGTTAGTACTCATTATCCCATGGTATAAAAATGCCTGTCGTGGGAACAAGAAGCCAGAAATGCATCCATAGAGAGATGCCTAATTGGAAATTCCAGCATGACTGCTCGATGGGGTTTCCCAGTTGTTTCTGCAGGAGCTTGTAAGTGACAGGCTTACGCTGCTTTGCCTTCTACTTGCAAGCCTCACCCTCACCAGAGGGCAACATTCTGCTCTGCCTGGGCCTCGCAGGCAGAAACCCCAGCCAGCTGCCTCAATGGGGCATCCGCAGCCTTTTCTGCAGAAGCTGTGAACACCCAATCTGGTGCTATGACAGTTGCTTGCTACCTGCTCTCTCCTTTCCCTTGTCCTCTCAGCTGGACTACTCCAGCTGTCTTTGCCAGGTTTGGAAAGACCCCAATTTGACGTTTTGCTATCAGCCACTTGCTCTTAGGCCTTTAACTTTTGTTTAATAAACTTATTTATTCGAAACTGAAAGTACAGCCATTGCAGACTGTTCCCTAGAGAGAACATGCACACTTAGAAACCGTTTACTGTTGTCAATTTTTGTGACCCTCTCATTTTTTATATAACCCCTATGTCATGACTCACAGTTTAAGAAGCTGGGTTCTAAACTAACCAGGTAATTGATCCAGTCACTTTCTACTCTTCTTTATATTTTAGGCCAAATCAGTTGCCTGTCCCAAGTACAGCCCTAATCCACTCCTGTCCCACCTCCTCACATAGCCTACTGCATCTGCGAGAGAGGGACATCCCTGCCTGATCCCACGGTCCAGTGTCTACTGCATTCCTTCTGAGTGCTCTTCTTTAGGCAAAAATATTGGTTTCCCCTGTTCATAACTTTAGCAGGTAGCTGGTCCTCCTCAGAGAGGGCTCAGAAGCTGGAGTCTCAGGCTGGCTGCCTGGCCCTGCTCTGACTGCTGTTCTCTTCCATCTGGTTGTATCTGCATCCCCACATCAAATTTTTAGCTGTCAATGCCCTCAGGAGAAGTCTCTGATTGTAAATAAATTGCATTTGGGCAGAAGCCTTGAGTATCTGTGTCTAACTGCCATGATGGAGGGATCAGCAGACACTGGAGCAGGCAGTACCCCCGGGGCCCACAGGCTGCACTTTACCCATAATCCCTGACATGGCATATCACACTTGGGGATATAGAACCAAACTGTTATAAGGTGACCCCTTTTCTTTCAAAAGAACTAGTTCTCAACATTCGACAGTCATTTGGTAAGTCTTCTCACTTGCTCAGGACACAAGCACAGTACTTTAAGGACTCACAATATAGTTCTGATTGTGAGACATTCATCCAGAACAATTATTGAGCTGGGCGGTGGTGGCACACACCTATAATCCCAGCACTCAGGAGGCAGAGGCAGGCAGATCTCTGTGAGTTTGAGTCCATCCTGGTTTACAAAGCAAGCTACAGGACAGCTAGGGCTTTTACACAGAGAAACCCTTTCTCAAAAACAACAACAATACAACTTTTTTTTTTTTTTTAAAAAATACACAACTTTTCTTAGGCTTGTCAGCATTACTCAGGAGCACATCTTTCCTTCAGGGTCTCTGAAGAACTGTTGGCATAGTTTACCTCACTCCTTTCTGATCAATGGCTCAATTCTCAAGTAGAAAACCTGGCAAAAATATGGATCTAGTTCCTGCTAAATAATGGACTCAGTTTAGAACTCAGCCCTATGGCTGACAGATACAAAACACCATGACAGCCTAATTCAGCCTTTCTTTGGATTTTAGTTCACACTTTTACCATAAAATAACAAATTCTAATGCTATTATTCTTTCTCACTGTCCACTCAGGTCAGCAACCTCCAATGTCTTTGGTCATTCTACAGCAGGAACAGCATGGCCCTGAAGCTTCCCTGAGTCTAGCAGGGTCCAAAGGACCGAGATGAATATCTTATCAGTCTCCATACCCGCATCCCAGGGTCCAGAGACTCCAGCAGCTAACGACTAAGACTCCCTGCCTAGAGCACTAGCTAGAATAAAGGCCTCCAATCTGGGAGCCTCTCGTCCGTGGACACACACTTAACTGTTCTGTGTCTGTGTCCTTACCTGGGCAGTGGAGATAGTAATAAAGGGGCCCTTTGCCTCAGAACTGCCTTAGGCTATCCTGAGGATTAGATAACAGTTTATGTGAAGGTGTTTAGGAAAGTACACAGTAAGTACTGTATGTTTGTCAAAGAAAATAATACAAACAAAGGGACAAAAATAGTCATACTGTCCCCCAAATAACCAAAAGTAGTCCACCTATACCCCCAAATAACCCCAAATAGTCTGCTTATCCTCCAAATAACCAACCCATTTTCCTGAGTATCCGGTACCTGCAACCAGCTCCTGGAAGATTCACCTTTCTTTTCTGTGAGCAACCAAAACCGTTCTGGCTAGTTCAAGCAGAAAGCTTTCTGGCTAGCTCAAGTACAAAAGGCATTTTAAAGTCTGCAAGTAACTGAAAAAGTTCCCCACAGATGAAGCTTGTATTCAGTGAAAGAAGACAAGAACAGGCAAACAGGAAAAATAAAGTAATTATAGATGGTACTAATGTCTGAAAATGACAGAAAATAAGGTGAGTGGGAGAAGCGTGCAGCAAGCACTGCCTTAGACGGGATGAACAGAACAGGCAGGCAGAAGCACGCTGTGAGCGCTACCTTAGACGGGATGAACAGAACAGGCAGGCAGAAGCATGCCGTGAGCGCTACCTTAGACGGGATGGACAGAACAGGCAGACATCTGTGCACCACCTGGAAGATGGCAAAGAACAGGAGCAGAGGAAGAACACTCAGGCAGTGAAATGAGAACCCAACCTCCAGTCAGCTGTGTTTTATGAGGTCATGGAAGGAAG